AATTTAAATATGTGTAGTTTATTGTATGTCCACTATACATCAAAAAAATCTATGTTAAGAAAATTTAAAATTACACATGGCATATAAACACACCCAAATATGCTAATCATCATTAGTTAATAAGGAAATATAAATCAAAATCACACTGAGGAAGTGCCTGCATGGCTGAGTTGGTTAAGCTACCAATTCTTGGTTCTGGCTCAGGTCATGATCTCATGGTTCGTGGGTTTGAGCCCTGCACTGGGCTCTGTGCTGGCAGTGCAGAGTCTGCTTGGGATTCTCTTTCTTCTTCTCTCTGCCCCTCCCCCAGTTTCTCAAAAAAAAACAAAAAACAAAAAACATAAACTACATTGAGATCCAATATAGTTATTAGGGAAAGGATAAAGCTTATTTAGTATTTATACAGTTTCATATTATGGCAAAAATTCATCTGATTTACAAATAACATGAACTCCCAACCTTTAAAGGAAAAAGTCATTTTCTGCTTTTATTACAGTGTTTTATGGAGCCCTTTTCTGCTGCTATCCTGTCCAGCTCCAGCAGTTATGTAGAACAGTCTAACATAAGCCTTTAGCAACCCCAGTTAGTTCTGTTAGTCTTCACTAAAGGAAACAGAGTTCTTTGGTGAGAATATATTCTATTTGAGAAGGGATATCCCAAGCTGGCTTTTGAGTTATCTTAATTATTATCACAAAGAAAGAATGTTTTCAGCAGTTCCTGGTGGGGCTGGGGTTAAAAACGATAAAGAGATGGGGCACCTGGGTGGCTCAGTTGGTTAAGCATCTGACTTCGGCTCAGGTCATGATCTCATGGTTTGTGGGTTCAAGCCCCACATTGGGCTCTGTGCTGACAGCTTGGAGCCTGGAGCCTGCTTCAGATTCTGTGTCTCCCTCTCTCTCTGCCCCTCCCCTGCTCATGCTCTCTCTCTATATCAAAAATAAATAAAAACAAAAACAAAATAAAAACTTAAAAACGATAAAGAGAGTGACCTGAGAAAGGGCCGCTGGAGGCAAGTAGAAACAATCTAAGTATCAACTAGAAATGATTATACACACACCATATATGCTAAGATAAAAAAGACTAAGAACCACAAATGTTGGAGAAAATGTGGAACAAGTGGAAGTTTCATACATTGTTGCAGGCATGTAAAATGATACAATCCTTTGGTAAAAAGGTCTAATAACTGCTTATTACACTAAACACACTCCTACCTGAGGACCCAGTAATTCCATCCTTAGATGTTTACCCAAGAGGAATAAAGACATATGTTCACAAAAAAAAATGTGTACAAGAATGTCCAAAGCACTTTATTCATAATAGAAAAAAAAAAAAAAAAGAAAAGAAAAAGAAAGAAAAAAATCAGAAACAGCCCAGGTGTCCATTAACAGAAAACTGGAAAAAACAAATTGACGCATTCATACAAAAGACTAGTCAGCAATAAAAAGGGATGAATTACTGGTACATGCAAAGTGAATTAACTTCAAAAACATGCTGAATGAAGGAAGCTTATGCTTTGTATGATTTCATTCATGTGAAGTTTCAGAATGGGCAAATTTAATCTGTGAGGCAAAAAATTCAGAACAGTAGTTAACACCTGATAGGTGGGGCGAGGATTGACTGGGAAGGAACATGAGGAAACTTACCGGAATAATTACTACAATCTCAATTTTGAAAAGGGTTTGGGTTACACAGATGTATGCATTTGCAAAATCTCAGCAAATTTATATTTAACATTTGTGTGTTTCACTGCATGTAAATGTACATCAAAGACTTTAAAAACTGAACATTAGGGGCGCCTGGGTGGCTTAGTTGGTTAAGTGTCCGACTTTCGCTTAGGTCATGATCTCACGGTTCATGGGTTCGAGCCCCGCGTCGGGCTCTGTGCTGACTGCCAGCTCAGAGCCTGGAGCCTGCTTCAGTCTGTGACTCCCTCTCTCTCTGACCCTCCCCTGCTCACGCTGTCTCTCTCTCTCTCTCCTAGAAATAAATAAAACATTTAAAAAAATTTTTAAAAAAAACCTGAACATTAAACTCTACTTAGTGATACTCATGTTAAGGTATCAGGGGAAGTATCCTGATGTCTGCAACTTACTTTGAAATGCAGCATAAAAGTAACATGGATAGATAGTAATAAAACACGTAAAATTTAGAATCCATGAAGTTGGTATTTGGGTATTTCCTGTAAAATTCCATCAACTTTGCTGTATGTTTGAAAATTTTCATTATAAAATGATGGAGAAAAGCCCTCAGTTGGTCTTATCTTTCTAATATACATCTTCTGCCTATAATAAATTATTCCTCTTGTAAGATTCTGTAGCAACACAGGGACCAGAAATTAGCCCTAGAAATTTCCCTAGAATTCTAAAAGTTAGATACATATGTTAACATGGTTAAGAAAGGTTAGAATTATAAAGATTATTGAAAAGGAAGTCAAATTACCTTATGAATCATTACCAATACTGGCATTCATTATTACCACAAACAGGATGAGAGTACCATAATTTGTACCTTTTCAAAAAATTACTTTTAACCACTGAATGAAGAACCATTTTTTATGTCAAATTATATATGTGAATAGGCTAACTGTATTTCAACCAAACTTTGTCCAAAATTTGGATATCCATCATCATTTAAAAAAAAACACCTATTAAGCATTTTCCTGCACCTAATATTATCATTATCGGTATGCTATTCATGAGATAAAATAACGTGATTTGCTTTCTGAGAGCTTTGGAGGAAATCTGGCATAAGTTTGTCTCAAACAAGTCTGCATGTGTTTCCTATCTCTGCACTTATTAGTTGTAGCAAAGTCACTTTATTAAGCCTCACTTTTCTCATTTACAAAATGTAGAAAGATAACAGTAGTTTGTACTTCATATGGTTATTCTGAATGTTCAGTGAACCATTTCATTTTACATGTTATCACAGTGATTGGTAGGTAAAAAGCTGTCAATAAATGCTATCATTTAAAAAATATGTACAAGAAACAAAACATTCAGTTGGTAGAAGAATGTGGAGTACCTTAATTCGTTTAAATAGAACATCATCTCCTCACTAGGTAGTTCAAAGAGCAATTACAAATAGGATTTGTTTTGTTTTCTTTGAGTTGCAAGAAATGTTTTAGAGTCAAAGAAGGATCGTCTTGCTGCATAGATACTGTGAGAACACAGCACCTGAAGGAGTGAAATGCATAAATACACTTCTCATGAGCTTATATCTAGATCTGCTGGAAGAAGCTATATCACTTCACTCAGTTTTGCATTAAACACTCAGAAACATTACCCACATTGTTTTATGCCTATCACTAGTGCCTGTTAGGTAAGTGGGTGCACCGTTGAAGACTCTAAAATAGTCAGGCAGACAGTGGGGGTTAAGGTGCGGCCAGGAGGATATTAACCACCACGTCCCTCCACCCCAAGAGAATGGCAGGGTCAGGCCTGGCAGGTGGAAGAATGAACAGCTGCGATGCCACTATAGGGAGTTGGGGCGCCCACACTTTTTTGGGAAGCATGTTGTACTGTCTCCTGCTGTGTGTTACCTGTAAATTTCCCACACTCTTTACTATCTTCTGTATCACTTGGCATCTTTTCATCAACCACCTTGTTAAAAGTCATGCAGCCCACATTCCCACAAAATGTTATAATCAGCTGAACCTAAATGGGAACAACTTGTCCTTCTAGCTGGGGTGTAACCCTTCTGTTTGTTACACCGCCCACAACCAGCTATGGTCTTTCACACCAAGGTACATTTGCTGTCTGACTGATAGAGCATGTGGAGCCTGGTCTAATCTGATCGTAGTAGTGGTGAAACAGGAGGAGTTTTTCAGTGGTCAATTCATACCTATACTAGAAGTATTCTACCCACCTACTCATTCCTGCCCCCAGCCTAAAAAGCAGCCAAGAATCTCAGCTAATTCTCAGATGCCTTTCTGAGCTTATGGGTTCCTATCATTTCATTAAAAGAAGATAATGACTTAAAGGAGATGGGGAAACTCAATAAACCTCTTCTTCAAAAAATCAAACAGGACTGAAGTCTTAAGACAACCTTTTCTGAAAAACTCTTAGAAATGGAGAGTAGGCTTTCTGCTTTTACATAGCACTGCATCTGCTTTGAAACCCATACAACATTGGTTTCTTTCTTTTCTCTGGTATTTTTAATCTATTACCTCTTACTGGACTTGTTTTTCAAGATGTAAATTCACTGGGCATGACTGTTCAGATATAGCTAGTGTCTAATTGGAAGTTTGGGGCAATATCTTGTAAATAATAATTATTCAGCTGCTCTGTAACCACAACCAGGTCTCTAAAATGCTCTGAAAGCTTCAGATATTATATTAAATATGCATAAAACAAGAATGGACTTTTCCATTAGTAGATATAAAAGCATGAGAATTAATATATGAAGATAGTTATACCTTGCTCATGAGGTAATCACTTCTATTTTCCCAGATGGTTATTACACTTAAGGCCAGATGCAAAAAGATTTATCTTTGGCCACATACAAATATTTTCTGTTATTCTAAAACATTAGCAATCTTTCCTATTGTGCAAAAGATAGTTTTAGGTTTGTTCCCTGTATTTCTTTTAAAATTTATGGACTCTGCTACTAATTTCTTGATGTCTGGAATATGAAAATGTCTGAACACCTTTTTCTCTTCAGCACTGTTGATCATAATTAGCTTGAAATTTATCTGCAAACTTCAAGCAGAAAAGGGCAGAATTCATAACTTTCTTAACATAGGGTCAGGCGAAAACCGAAGGAAAAAACTAAAGGATTTTAATGGAAATTATCCAAGCTACAATCCCGTATTTTAACCTTAAGTTTGATTCAGCAATGATTTTTACTGCTGTTTCCTCCCCTTCTATTTTTACTAGTTCTTCTTTTGAGGCTGAAGCAGAGAAATGTGCTGAACGTGTGGATCTCAGCAACTGTATTTCTCAAACAGGAAGCAAAAAGAAACTTTATATTGCTTTTACTTAACAATCTGACGAATGATGATCTGAGTTCAAGGATTATATTTAGTGTGGTCCCAACAAAGAAGCAAAAATACTTGTTTCACAACTAAGACAGAGTCAAAAGCCTTTTCTAGCTAATCAGTCAGTCCCCAAACTAGTAAGAATTGAGATTTCATCTACTCTTCCACAAGGAGCAGAACTGGTGGGATCCAGGATACCTTTATCTTATTGCATAGGTATGAAAATACTGCCTAAGCAGAATTGGAAAATTTACCAAATGAACAGAATGGTGAAATGAGTACAACATTCTTAGATGTATTCAGAGCTAAACAGGCTACATATCAAGAAAAATTGTCACTTAAAGTTTGCCTGTTATCTTTTACATTAGTCTGTGATAGAAATGTAAACAACCAAGGTGTTCTTGGGAACACCAAGCCAAGAGAATAAAACCATGGAAGAAAAGAGAATCTGGGAACTAGAACCAATTCTTAATGCTACATATAAATACAAAACATATACATATATGTGATTAAAAACTGTGATGACATATTTTTGGCTCAAAAGTATTCTTTCACATTATGGATCTCATTTCTCACCCTTAGGCAAAGTTTGGTATACAGGATGGAGGATTTTTTTCTTTATGTCTCTTCCTCATAGTCTTACCAATCAAAATTCCATACTATCCTTTAAGAATCATGTTAAACACTTCTCCATCAATAACCTTCTCCCAACAACTGGCACCAACTTGTCTTTTGTGCTCCCCAACACTTGATATTTGCATCACCACCCGACTAAAAGCTCTAAATGCTAGGCTTCTTGGGATGTCATTCTAAAAAATCTCTCCATAAAATGAAGTCCTTATCACTTGTATGACAAGAACTTAAAAAAGAAATCACAGTCATCTGAAGTCAGCCCAAGACTTTTTCTAAAAAATACTGGAGAATTTGCTATGCAGATAACAAAGAGGAAGACCAAAAATAGTTGCTTGGATATGTGGCAAAAAGTCTCATAAATTACATCTCAAATTTTAAAATTATCTCACTCTTTTTCACAACTTCTGTTTGTTGTTTCTTCTTCGCCAGGGTCACATACCATCTGGTAAACATAGCAGCTGAAGACCCTGCTCGGTGTCTGTTCTATGTGCAGTACCAAGTCTCTGTCAAAGTAGACTTCGTGGCTGTATGTCTGTAATGAAAACACAGCCAAATGAAATCGCCTCTTCACACAACCATATTCACAAGTTTGTCACTAAAATGTCATAGCACCTATGCTAGAGATCTTCAAATATATACATGGAAGCAAAACAGTTGCTAGAAATAGTTTACTTTCATTATTTATGAACATGCAGATTACTTATGTGGCAGGCATTACAAGAAATGTTGAAGATAAAGAGCCCTGGTGTGAGGAGTCAGAACACACAGATCCCACTGTCTATATTCTCACTATGTGACAGTGGGCAAGTTGCTAAGCCTCTTAGGTATTTGATAAAACAAATGATTGGATAAAATAACAGCTACTCTTCTTTATAACTTTTATATTCTATAATAATTAAAAAAGTAAACAGATATTTCCAAGAGTGCCTAGAAACCCTATATGCTTGGATATTGTCTCTCTCTTAAATGACTGTGGGGATTCAATACAATATACTTCTATTCTTAAAAACATTACCAAACTTATAAAATGTGATAAAACCAAAGACTATGGTAAGGAAATAGGTAGCAGGACTCAAAATAACCACATAAAACTTTATCTTTAGGGCCTCTAGAAAGGTGGTGTCCTCTAGTTCCTAGGGAAGGAAGTACTTGTTTTGTCCGGCAGGATAACCTCTTTGGTGTGGTCACTGGTACAGGCGACTCTGGACTGACATCAACACAGTAACACGTTTCAATAAATGTCACCTATAAAGAAAATTCTTACAACTTTGTATTCCACGGACTCTACTCACCACATCCCATGACTCCACTAGTGGAATGCTTTTAAGTAAAGTTCCATATTCATTACAGTGGAAATCCAGGTGAGCTTTTCCTTCAGCATCTATTTGGGTAACAGCTACCACAGAAAGCAAATCCAGCTCATCTTCGTAGTCCACAATTTTAAAAGTCTTAAGGAACGGATGGGCAAGGTAGAGGAAAAAGGCACAAAATGCAGTTATCCACTTAGATTATTTCTATTTAGAGTTTAACTCTTCTATTATCTATCTATTTTTTAAATGTAGAAAGAAGAATGAATGGGTGAGAGCATAAGTAGAAATGTGTCTCCACTTTTATGCCTAGTAAAGTCCCAAGATTCTGAAGACTTAAGCAGTATCCTACAGATTTTAACAGACTCAAGTGTCAGCCAAAGTATTATTGAAATTCTCTATTAGGACAGCAAACCAGAACTTCCTCAAGTTCCAAAGAGGTTGCTGCCTCTGACCTCTGTGTTCACTGGTTCACAGACAGGACTAAATACACGCAGCTCAGTTCTGAAACCTTAAAACTACCTACTGTGTCAGAAGAGTCTTACACCAGAAAATCACAAGTCATTTCAGGAAGAACTGATGACCTATCACATACTATTTATGACTCTCTTTGCCATCTTTTTTTTTTTTTTTTTAACTCTTTTTGGTTCTCTAAAAAAAAGTAAAAATGGCTTACACTTGAGGAAGAATATTAATTAGGAACTGAAATCCAACCTACAGAACAGAACTGGCATAAGAGATGTTTCTTGGAAATGATTAATGATGGTAAAGACTTAAAAGAGAAAAATCTAACCCCATAACTCTGTTTCAAGAAGAAAACCGACTCCAGTAACCTCTCAGGAGAAGCAGATCTTTGCCAGCATTCCAAAGATGGGCTACAGGAAGGCACATTTTGGCAGGCACAAGTTTCTTTTGCCCATCACATACTAATCCTTCACTTATATTTGGTCAAACTGCTTTTTAATCTATTTATATTTTCTGCTTTTACTATCCATAATGTAAACATTTATGCAGATTTATTACACATAGTTCCTTTTTATTTACTTTTTTGCCTTAATATTACCTTGATCAAACTTTAAAGAGTGACTTCTTTCCTGGTGTCAGTGATTTTATAGCTTTTAGTCACATGTCCTTTCAGTTTTTCCTTTGTAGGCTAAAACTTTTTGTTTTCCAATCTCTTGATAGTCTTTTTTTTTAATAAAAAAAATTTTTTTTTATTACTGAGAGAGAGAGAGAGAGAGAGAGCATGAACAGGGAAGAGTCAGAGAGAGACAGAGATACAGAATCTAAAGCAGGCTCCAGGCTCTGAGCTAGCAGTCAGCAGAGCCCAATGCAGGGCTCAAAACCACTACCCAAGAGATCATGACCTGAGCCGAAGTTCGACACTCAACCAAGTCACCCAGACACTCCTTTCTTTTTTAAATTTTTTAAAATTTTATTTAACTAATCTCTTGATAGTCTTGAGACTTTTGCTACCATCTTCTCCTTGTTATTATTGTTGCTGCTTTTGGTAATTTTAGTATGTCTTTCTTGAATGTAGTTTTATATACAGGGAGCTTTCTTCTCTATTCTCAATAGATTTCTATGGTTCAAAAAATAAACACACACACACACACACACACATACACACACACACACACATAAATATATAGATCTTTCTTTTTGGAGTGTAGCCACATACTGGGACATCTCTAACCTTTTTAAAAGATTTTCAAAAATTATCTTTACAAGGCTACTCTAATATATCTACATAGAAATGGTCACACAATCAATACAGTTATCTGGTCTAAATAGACTCCGTATTCATGCAATGGTTGTATATTTCAAGCATTATCACTGTCAGCTGATTTCATAAGAACTTTCGATGCCTCTTTAAAAGAAAAGGATAAAAATGTATTAGCTCAGTGACTGGTGATGTCAAGTTTAGGCCACAGGCTGAACTAATTTACTACATCCTCACACCTTTCTTCCCTGACCCAAGATCATTAGCAAACATAGCTATGTCTTGTAAAGCAAAATCCATAAAGTCATCAGGATATATTTCCCTAGAAAGTGTGCACATTAAAAAAAAAGAAGAAGAAAAGAGAAGGGAAAAGAAGTGTATATATTGGGGCGCCTGGGTGGCTCAGTCGGTTAAGCGTCCGACTTCAGCTCAGGTCATGATCTCACGGTTCGTGGGTTTGAGCCCCACATCGGGCTCTGTGCTGACAGCCAGCTCAGAGCCTGGAGCCTGTTTCAGATTCTGTATTTCCCTTTCTCTCTGACCTTCCCCTGCTCACTCTCTCTCTCTCTCTCTCTCTCAGAAATAAATAAAACATTAAAAAAATTTTTAAAAGTATATATTAACAAAACAATAAGCTAGTGTTGTTTTCAAATTATTTTGGTTCTATGAACATTTTTGCAAGCAAAATCTTATGAATAATTCCAATAAGAGAAGAGCGGGTGATGGGGACATATTGGTTGAAATAGCATGCACAATTCTACCAATGAAGTCTGTACAGAACTATTCACCCCAATCCTCTACCCCAGAGTCTGGAAAGCATAGTTTAAAAACCACAGGGCTAGTATATACTAGTTTGGTTTGTTATGTCTGGCTAAAGTAATACCTCTTGTTCTGGGTCATCATCCAGAAGATTAAAATTTTTTTTCACCACCCGTCCAGAAGCTGTAACGGTGAATAAATTTTCATTCTATTATATGGAAAGAAATAAAAAGATATGAGGAGTCCTATTATGTGAAGTAAATAGCAAAATTGTACTAAATTTGGTTACACAATCAACCCTTCTCCAACATCCATAATTCTTTCTTCTAGTGAGAAAATTGTTTCAGATTTCTGATCCTCCAATAAAAATACTTTACTATAATAAATTAATGGCTAAAATACCAAAATAGGCAAACAATACATACAAAGATTACAGATTTGGTACTTTACTCGCTCTTCTGATTTTTGTTTTAGTATAACTAGAGCAATACTACAGTGGATCTGCTTTTGGAAATTTCTCTCTGCATAATTTTCTTCATGTTCTTAATCTGCACACTAAAAGAAAAGAACTACCTGGAGTTAAAGCATGGTATGTGATTTCTGATTCATATTTAATGCAACTTACTCTAAGTTGGTACAATTAATTAAACCCAAAGGTCGATGATGAATTCATCAATAACAACTAAAAGAGAAACCCAGAAAGGAAATAGAAATTAACAAAAGATAACTCAATATAATCAACTCTTTTCAAATCTCAATTGTGCATGAGGTTAAGCCCAGCTCCCTATGCAGACAAAAACACCCAGACTTCTACAGGATTGTGCTGTTCTTTTCAGCCACACTGAAAGAGAAACACATTTGCATACTATATGCTCAAAGAGAAAGACAGTGATATACAAAAAATTTGAAAGTACTCCTCACTTACCTTGTTCTTCTCCCTGTTGGCCAAAATGACAAAGTCTTCAGAAATCTGATACTGGGCACTATTATCTTCTACTTCATTTAGCTTTAAAACTCTGAAAAGGGAAAAAAGATTCTAAGAACATAAGACCTCAACACCCATCAAAGTGGCAAAGTGGAAGTACTAAAATAAAACTCAACAAATGAAAATTATAGTAACAACACTGAGTTAGTTCTCTCCTTGTGAGTAGTCCAAAATATTAATGTCTGATCACTTAAGTGTCCATAAACTCCTTCAAATTCAGAGATTTTGTTAGACAGAAAAACCTGTGACAACAGGGACTCCTGAAGTAGGTAATGAAGCAGCTTCCTCGGGCTATGCCATCTTCCAAACTGGCTTTATGAAAGTTACTCTTAAAGAACCTTATCTTTGTTGTCCTTCAACAGGTCTTCAATGTTTCAGCTTTAACAATAGTATTATTCTAGATATTGGCATTTTTTCTTCTGAATCTATCATGAGATATTAATGAACAACACTCAGAGTTAACTGTATGACAGACTGGATTTGGGGCACCTGGTGGCTTAGTTGGTTAGACGTCTGACTCGTGATTTTGGCTCAAGTCATGATCTCACAGTTTGTGAGTTCGAGCCCCGCATTGGGCTCCGTGCTCATGGTGTGGAGCCTGCTTGGGATTCTCTCTCTTTCTCCCCCTCTCTCTGTGTCCTTCTGGCTCTCTCTTTCTCCCGCCCTCCCTACCCCCTCTCTGGCCCTCCCTCTCTCAAAATAAATAAACATTAAAATTAAAAAAAAAAAGATAGACGTGATTAGCAACTAAGCCTACACTAAGAGTTTTCATAGAAGAGTAATATTTGAAAACTGCAATTTATTTAACACTTTTTTTTTCCTAGGACTATATTTAAAGATTTGTGTTTTCTGAGTGCAAATGGCCTAATCGATCAAACTTATTAAGCAAGAAAAATAAAATAATTCACTCACCACACACACAAATCTGTTCACAGCATTAACAAGCTTCAAAAGCACAATGTTCTTAAAGCTTAAAGTCTCAAATGCAAGCAAAGAGAATAGCAGGGAGTAGCAGCTACTGTGGCCAGAGAGAGCCAGAAGCTTTTCTTTGCCAGAGACAAAGAAATCAGATTATATTTTAAATTACTCATTCATCATCTTAATTATTTAAAAGTGCCTATATTTAAAATGCCTATCTTTTAGAACCTGACAAAAAGGCACACACTCTGTGGATCTTATTTTCTTAAACTCAAACTACTATTAAAATGTGGGTAGAGAAGCGCCTGGGTGGCTCAGCGGGTTAAGCATCTGACTCTTGATTTCAGCTCAGGTCACAATCTCACCGGTTTGTGAGATGGAGCCCTGCATCAGTGCAGAGCCTGTTTGGGATTCTCTCTGCCCCTCCCCTGTTGGAACACAGACACACACACACAAACACACACACACACACACACACACACACACACTCTCTCTCTCTCTCTCTCTCACTTTCAAAATAAATATTTTTTTAAAAAGGTGGGTAGCAACAAACATTAAAAGTAGGGTTTAATAAAGTGAAAGTACAGTTTTTAAGACTTTTTATAAAAGTTCATCATCTTATTTAATTAAGACCCTTTATCCTCTTTATAATCAATTCAGAAAAGTAGACTAATTATCATGAAGCATAAGGAATAAATAAGGCAGATGATGCCTTTCTTATTCAACAAACTTACAGAGCACAAACTGTGTGCTAAGCATCATATTCAAGTGCTAGGGTTATAAGTATTCGCAAAACAGACTCTTTCTCTGTCATTACGGAGTTGATGATTCTGTAGCTAGATATTTAAACAGATAATCACATAAATAACTAATTAAAATTATTGTGTTAGAGAAAGCTGACAGAATGGGTGCAATGAAAATATAATGGGGGAGCTAACCTAATGAAGGGTCTTAGGGAAGGACTCTGTGAAAAAGGGATATTTAAGCTGGTACATGAAATAGGAATAGAAATTAGGTAGGAGAATAGGGAGGGGAAACACATTCCAAGAGGAAACAGGTCCCCAGCTTTCTGAAAGGACAGCATTGCTGAAGTAAACTGAGAGGAAGGACGGTCTTCCAGACCATGCTAAGTACTGGTCTTTATCTCAGGAACAAGAAGCAATAAAAAGGTTAAAGTAGAATGCATTTGGTTAGGTTTTTCTGTTTGTTAATGTTTCTAAAAATCACTCTTGCTGCTGAGAAGAAAACAGACTTAAAGAGTGCAAAAATGGATTCTTGGAGTCCAAGAGGTAGCTTATTACTTCAGTCCGAGCTAGTGATGACAATGGTCTAACCAACATGGTAACAGTGGCCAAGGGGAGAAAGAGGAGGATTTAGGAAAATTTAGTAATACAACAACAACAAAGGATTCACAGTATATATCGTGTGTGTGTGTGTGTGTGTGTGTGTGTGTGTGTGTAAGGGAGAGGGAGGGGGTGGGCAAGAGGGAGAGAGAGAGAGAGAGAGATGCGGGGGGGGCAATGTACATGAATATATGTATATGAAAAGACAAGAGTATATGCATATGATGAAAGACAAGAGGGTAACAAAGTGCTAAGAATAATTCCAGATTTCTGGCTGAGCGTAGATGAGAAGTTTGGGTGAGGATATACATTTTGGAGTTTTGGTGTACACATGATCTTTGAAGCCATGGGAAAAAATAGAATCATGCAGGAAGGGAATGAAGAGTGAGAAGAAAATAGGATCTAAATCCTGAGGACATGCAATAATTAAAGTCTGGAAGACTTCCTCTAGAAGAGGATGAACATGAAAGGACATGAAGAAAGACACATCAAAGAGAGAGGGAAATATTCAGGAGAACTGTGGTGTCAGGGAAGCCAAGTAAAGAGTATTTCAAGGAAGGAACGGTCAACTGGATGTAAGATGTGGGTCAACAAAACAAGGTTTACTTCAAACAACTCCTGTAGTAAAGCTATCTTTTACACCAAAAAACAATCATCTCTCTCATTCATCCTGGAGAATTAAAACCTGATAAAGACAAGCCAATCTGAATCTCCTTTTACCCATATTATCATCCATCAAAGAATTTGGGGGCACCTGGGTGCCTCAGTCGGTTGACGTCCAACTTCGGCTCAGGTCATGATCTCATGGTTTGTGGGTTCGAGCCCCATGTCGGGCTCTGTGCTGACAGCTAGCTCAGAGCCTGGAGCCTGTTTCAGATTCTGTGTCTCCCTCTCTTTCTGCCCCTCCCCTGCTCACACTGTCTCTCTCTCTCTCTTTCTCTCTCAGAAATAAAAAACATTAAAAAAAATTTTTATAAAAAAAGAATTTATTTTAATGTAATATCCACAAACAGTAATGGAGGGTGAAAGAATAAAGTCAGGTTCTCTGAGGAAGCAACCTACAACAAGCTAATTATTTTTATAATTGGGTCAGCAGTTAGCTGGCAAAAATAACATGCCAATAAATGCTTCCAAAGTTACTTGTCACTTTAAAGTAACTAATGAAAATACTCACTTGAAGGGCACCTGGGTGGCTCGCTTGGTTAAGCATCTGGCTCTTGATTTGGGCTCAGGTCACGATCTCAAGGTTCATGAGTTCAAGCTCTGCATTGGGCTCTGTGCTGATGGTGCAGAGCCTGCTTGGGATTCTCTCTCTCTCCCTCTTTCTCTGTTCCTCCCCTACTTGTGCATGCTCACTCTCTCTCACTCGCTCTCTCTCTCTCAAAATAAATAAATAAACTTAAAAAAATACTCACTTGACCTGATTTGGACCGACATGTATTATTCTACCAGAAGCATCAGGATGAAAATAGATCCAGTCAGATTCTAGAGAACAACATTCCATTTCTTGGATCCCATTTTTTGCCTAAAGTTGGGAAAAATATTGAAAATAAGGATTAAGGGAGAATAAAGTAAGTTTCCAAATGTAATATCAATGATAGAGTAAATCAAAGATACAGGGAAGAGAAAATATCAGAAGTTGAACTGAGATATGCAGAAGAACTGAATTGGGGCAGTCATACTTATGAAATCTAGAACATTTGCACTGTACTATACAATTTACCCTGCAAATAAAAACCTAACAGTAATCCCATCTCAAGCATCTATTTTGTGTCAGGCATTGCTGTAGATGTTTTAGAGCCATTTCATTTGATTTTAATAACACTCACAGCATATATTACTGCCCCCATTTTGATGATAAATCACAAAGAGGACAAATCATTTGCTCAATGTTTTGCAGCTGCCGAAACAGCAGCTCTGACTCCAAAGTCCAAGGACTTTCCATTATATAACTCTGTACAGTTATGCACATGCAGCCCCCTACAACTTCTTCCCTTGCCCATCCCCAAAAAAATGTCAAAAAGAGTGGGTAACATACAAATAAACATGCAACCCAATCTAAAATCTCAGAAACAGGTCTTATAATCTTCTTGGGTAAGTCAGATATTAACCTCTAATAATGAGGAAATGGTTCAATACTGCTTAGCCTTTTAGGCAAGGAGAGATTTATTTCATGACAGAACATTTAGACATTAAAATAAAGAGAAAGTTACCTCCATGATATATGATCACACATGTACATAAATGTTTTACCTATACATTGGAGCACTGGGAACTAATACCAGCATGGATACATTAGTTTCATTTAATTTCTTTAATTTGTCCAATGCAAAATGAAGTGATACCACCTTTCCTATTAGATACTCATAGAAGTTTTTGAAATATTAACTTATTAATTTCATTAGCATATACTGACAGGATGCTATGTCTTAAGTATCACACTAGGTGTTCCTACCACACATGAACAAAACATAGCTCTTGCCATCAAAAAGCTCATTATCAAGAAGGGAGGCAGAAACACAAGCAGAACAGAAAAAGATGGTGTAGAAAACAGTGATCGAACCATGCACAGGATATTATCGAGCATTCAACCCAGGTGAGTGGAATTTCAGGAAGAAAAAAGGAGCTTGAAGTAAGCCTTAAAGGATGAGTATAAAATGGCTACAAGAGATGGCAAAACCTGAAGCACAAAAACGTTAATCTATACAGCATGTGTGTGCATGCACATGAATAACAATTTTAATTCTGGCTCCTAGAAAAGATGTACAGTGTCCATTACAGGAGATGTATGAGACTAGAGAATTAGGTGGGGGCTACTTTTTTTAATGTCATGCTTTAAAAAAAAATGGAATTTAACACATATTCTGTATTAGTGAATGTTTTGATTTTTCAGAAATTTTTATAAGTATCCTAATAATTTCTAATAGGAATGGTGGTATTATCACATTGTATATATAAGAAAATAAATGAAATTAAATACCCTGGCTGCAACCACTGAAATTAACGTGTCCAAGATGGCATTAGCTCCAGGCGTCCCTTTAATATAAAACATGCACATACTATACATATATTTCTTTAGACACTTCTCTTTATTGTAATAACTATAACATGCAAAAAAAATTTTATCTTTTAAATATAACACAACATTATTACCAGCTTCTGCAGTTTTTGTTATGTGCTTGAATGCCAGATTTTAAAACTCAGTTTAATAGAAAGCTAGGAAACATTTTCTGAATTCTTCAGTTTGGCTTCATGTGTTTTTGGGTTATCTACTACTCTTCTGACTGACAGGTGGGGAAGTAATGGGCATATGCATCCTTACATTAATGTCCCTACCACAAAGGTATTTGGCAAAAGGACTGAAAACTTCCTCTGGATTTGGCAACTAGTTATGAATATGTTGAAATACAGATCTCTGGGGCGCCTGGGTGGCTTAGTCGGTTAAGCGTCCGACTTTCCCTTAGGTCATGATCTCGCGGTTCGTGGGTTCGGGCCCCGCGTCGGGCTCTGTGCTGACTGCCAGCTCAGAGCCTGGAGCCTGTTTCAGTCTGTGACTCCCTCTCTCTCTGACCCTCCCCTGCTCATGCTGTCTCTCTCTCTCTCCTAGAAATAAATAAAAACATTTAAAAAAAAATAAAAAAATAAAAAAAAATAAAAAAAAAGAAATACAGATCTGACTAGATGTTATAATCAGTTATTACAGGAAAGTACTTGATAGAGATGCTTGATATAGATGTTGGAAGCCATTTTATGCATGCACACACACATGCATACGCACACAAAACAATATGCATTATCTGTTCTTATATAAAAAGACTATCCGGGGGCGCCTGGGTGGCTTAGTCGGTTAAGCGTCCGACTTTCGCTTAGGTCATGATCTCGCGGTTTGTGGGTTCGAGCCCCGCGTTGGGCTCTGTGCTGACTGCCAGCTCGGAGCTTGGATCCTGTTTCAGAATCTGTGTCTCCCTCTCTCTCTGACCCTCCCCTGCTCACACTGTCTCTCTCTCTCTCCTAGAAATAAATAAAAATATTTAAAAAAAAAAAAAAAAAGACTATCCACAATGTGAATTGTACGGGGTTTGACAGGATGGAAAAATTAAGTGAAAGAGAGCTATGACAGGTCCTGGTGGTTGAAGAATGTTCACTGGCTAAGAGGTGAACAACCAAATCACAGACTTGTCATGACAGCCTCTATCTAGAAAGACCACTGTAAAAGAGGAGGTCACTGGAGCTGCCACATGTGACAGGTAAATGAGAAAATGGAAGGAAGAATGTTCCCACAAAAGAAAACTAGAAGACACTATACATAGTGTTCCCTGGTGGCGACATCAAGGGCAATAGATAACTGGACCCAAGACTATGTTGATTTTCAGTGTGGTATAAGGTGGCCTGTGATCTAAAAGCCACTGAATCGAACAGTGAGTGACTGAGCATGATCCTGGAAGAGATGGATATGGAATAAGTGGATCTGCTTCAGAAAAAGTAGGTTAGTCTCATATATCAAGAGGTTCCAGAAATAAACTACACTATCTCAGCAGTAGAAATCAAAGATGGAACCCCTCCACTCCTCATTGTGCACTCACTCTTTGGGACTTATCTTAATTACTGTACTTAACAGACTGTATCTTACTTATCTACATGTGTGCTTTTGACAGCATAAGGAACTTGAAGGAAGGGAAGGTGTCCCCAGCCATGCCTGGCCCACATTAGGCACACATAAATTAAATTAAATGATAAATCAATGCCTAAATCATTTTCAAAAAGAAAATAAAGAAAAATGAACTCAAGGGGTAGAAATTTCTATTGTCGGGGCACATGGGTGGCTCAGTCGGTTAAGCGTCCGACTTCAGCTCAGGTCATGATCTCACAGTTCGTGGGTTCGAGCCCTGCATGAGGGTCTGTGCTAACAGCTAGCTCAGAGCCTGGGGCCTGTTTCGGATTCTGTGTCTCCCTCTCTCTCTGACCCTCCCCTACTCATGCTGTGTGTCTCTCTCTCAGAAATAAATAAAACATAAAAAAAAATATTAAAAAAAAGAGAAAATTCTATTTTCTTACCATGTCTTAGCATTTCTTCCTATCCTGCCCTAAGTAATTAAAGTCCTTGAAAATTCAAAGTGTTTCAGTGCTTACATTGTGACCAACAGAGTTCTACCTGGTTCTGCTCTGGAAAGCAAATGGCAGCAAACCATGAAAAAACAACCAACTACACATTCCACCAGCAAGTTCCAAGGCAACCTGAACATATTCCAACAATAATTCCCACTACGGAGCTTCAGAGATGTTTTGCACAAGATCTCATGAGAAATCTTTGGTCTCTAAGAATTTACAAATGGTAATACTTTTAAATTCTTGGTAGTCAAGCATTTGTTATACTCCTTGTATTCTTCTTTTTTTTTTTTTTTAAATTTTTTTAATGTTTTATTTATTTCTAGGAGAGAGAGAGAGAGACAGCGTGAGCAGGGGAGGGTCAGAGAGAGAGGGAGTCACAGACTGAAACAGGCTCCAGGCTCTGAGCTGGCAGTCAGCACAGAGCCCGATGCGGGGCTCGAACCCACGAACCGCGAGATCATGACCTAAGCGAAAGTCGGACGCTTAACCGACTAAGCCACCCAGGCTCCCCACTCCTTGTATTCTTCTGTACCTAACATTGTTTACATATTATTAATACAAACAAAAAGTAATTCTTTGGAATTCTTATTACAGAAGTAGAAAATAAAGAATTTCTGATACACATTTACTACTAAAAAGTCTGATCACTCATGATTTACCAAGGAATTATCTTTCAGGGCACAAATATGGAAAACTCCTTTCTGTTTCTTCTTATTAGGTGTGATGATGTAGTGCCAAGGATGGCCTCCAATCTGGAAAGCATTCTCCAGGGAGGACACCTCAAAGAGCAGTGGTGGTGAGTCTGCAGAGATGGGCAAAAGGAATTTATTAGTTTCTCTGTTCTGGTAGCCTGGGAACATTCATGATGCATGCATATAGATGAGAAGTTTTCATTAATGAGAAGTTACTACGTTTAAGAAATAAAATCTAATCAGGAAAGAGGTTGATTGCTAAGAAAAGAGAAAGCTGGTAGGCAACAAATGTTATGTGACAAGTCAACTTTCTAGACATCTGTTCTCAGGATATGTGTGACCTGCAGCTGAATGGAGATAAAAAGTGGACTGATGTGCTTATGATGGCAAAAAATGACAAAGTACATCTAATAAAAGCAGCTGCCATTTACTAGACATGTATGTATAAGATTCTAGGTTAAATACTATTCCCAACGCTCATAACAATCCTACAATATAATTAGGCCTAATAATTTCCTTCAGATGTGAAGAAGAGATCTTTCATATTCCAGACTAACAGGTTATACTTAGCAAACTTTATAAGAACAGTCTTAAGAATTCCATGATATAAGTGATATTAGTCATAATAAATGTAACCACTTAGGATAGGTCCTGTCACAGTGGTAGCTTTATTAAAGGATAGCCCGTACTACTAGTATTATCTTTAGATAATTAACTAGTTTAGATACACCTAGCCATTCACTGTCTTTTAGAGACTAACACCATGAAAGAAGTATCTGTCGGTGCCTCTTAGTCATCTTTTTAATGACAACTGATTGTAAGTAGAGTGAAACAGAAACTTCTCTTACAGAAATGTGTAAGTAGAAGGTACTACAGCTTTAGAATATACCACCCAGGCTGTTTCAGCAAGTGGTTACTTGGTGACTCTTTTATTACCCCTCTACCTTAAGTATTTAATCTTTCGTTATGAGGCCATCACTGCCAGTAAAGGGGTTTGCTTTAGAAAGACCATTCACTCGAGTCCTAAGTTACACATATAAGTGTGTGCTTTGGGGTGCATGGGTGGTTCAGTCACTTAAGCATCTGACTCTTGATTTTGGCTCAGGTCATGATCTCACCGTTTTGTGAGATCAAACCCTATGTCAGGCTGACAGCATGGAACCTGTTTGGGACTCTCTCCCCCTCTGTCTGTCCTTCCCTGGCTTGTGTTCTCTTTCTCAAAATAAATAATTAATCCTAAAAAAAAAAAAGTGTGTGGTTTATTAGGCCTCTTCATAAGGACAATTTACTGGGCAGGAGAAAAATAATGAAAAGTGAATTCACAAACTTACAGTCCTGTTTTAAAGCTTTTAGGAAGAGAGTAATATTCTTTATAGAGAAGTCTTCTCAATGAGACAAAAAAATAAACCCAACAGAAAACTCAGCAAAAAACATTAGGTAAATTATGAAAGAAATACAAACATCACATGTGATAATACCGTAGCTATGAATTGATGGTGAATGAGGAAAAAATTATAAAAAGAAAAAATATAATTAAAAATTTTTTAACGTTTATTTTTGAGAGAGAGAGAGAGAGAGAGAGAGAGAGAGAATGAGGGGGGGAGGGGCAGAAAAAAAGAGAGGGAGACACAGAATCTGAAGCAGGTTCCAGGCTCTGAGCTGTCAGCACAGAGCCCAACGTGGAGCTTGAACTCAGGAACCATCAGATTATGACCTGAGTCAAAGTTGGACACTTACCCTACTGACCCACCCAGGAGCCCCAAAAGAATATAATTAGAGTTTGAATTTGGGGTTAAAATTTTAAGTAGGTATTTTACAGAGAATATAAAATAGGTATTATAGGAAAAAATCAATGCAAAAAGATACGCTAAAAAGAAATACTTTTCTCAGCAGCTGCTAAAAAGGGCCCCAGAGTAGCAATGGGACTCTGCTCATCACAATTCTGATGGGTCCCCAGTAACCTCAAATTTTGATCTCTAATACTATTTTCAACTAGAGTCCTAGAAGTTCTCAGAGAGTAGCTGATTCCATGTCTTGTCATGAAGAAATTTTAAGATAGGTCTGAACTGTCCAGTTGTTGTGATAAAGGATATTTATAGGACGGCAGGGTAGTATTAAAAGAATAAGAGAGTCAGCAAAAGGGACTCCTACTGGCTAGACTGTGAAAAGAGAGGCATGAAAAAGAAAATAATGATATTGATTATAATGCTCTGAGTCTGTGAAAGGTCAAGCAATGATACTTCAGAGTTTTAATATAAGTTGTACAAAATCTATTGTTTATAAAAGAATAGCTATAATAGGATACAATTTTTCTGTAATTTTAAAATATAGGGACTAGATCAGGAAAATGCAAATCCAAACCATAATGAGATACTGCCTCATACCTGTTAGAATGTCTATTATTAAAAAGATAAAAGGGGTACCTGGGTGGCTCAGTTGGTTGACTCTTGATTTTAGCTCAGGTCATGATCCCAGGGTTGTGGGATTGAGCCCTGCATCAGGCTCTGTGCTGAGAGTGGAGCCCGCTTAAGATTCTCTCTCTCTCTCTCTCTCTCTCTCTCATCTCTCCCTCCCCACACACTCTAAAATTAAAAAATAACAAGATAAGAAATAACAGCAGTTGGAGAGGATGTAAAGAAAAGGGAACTCTCGTGCACTGTTGCTGGGAATGTAAATTGGTGCAGCCACTAAGGAAAACAGAATGGAGGTTCTTCAAAAATTAAAAATAGAACTACCATATGATCCAGCAATTCCACTACTGGTTATTTACCCAAAGAAAATAAAAACACTAATTTGAAAAGATATATGCACTCCTATGTTCATTGGAGCATTATTTATAGGAGTTCATAGAGACAGAGAACAGACTGGTGGTTATCATAGGGGAAGGGGGTCAACTGTATGGTGAAAGTAGTAACTAGATTTACTGTGGTGATCATGTTGTAGTGTATACAAAAATTAAAAAAAAAATTTAGGTGAAATGAGTCTATTGAAGATATAGAGCAAACAGATACAGATGAACTCTCTGGGAGACTCAGAAAGGAAAGAAGCATGAGTCTCATCTTTGCTTAGGGTCTAAGGTTTTTTACTGAGGATGGCAATCTGGTGTACATGTCCTCTCAGGCATCCAGGAAATGGTTAGAATAAAGACAAGGGCTCAGGTTCTTTTCCTAGGAGGCAGGGGAATCTTGGTGTAGAAATATCTAGCTCTGGTAGTCTGGAAGGCACATATGATAGCTTCGTCCAGTCATTCTCACCTGGTCCTTCCTTAGATGTCATTTATTCTAGAGAATCATCAACTCCTCACCCCTTACAAGAAAGGCATAGGCTATTTTCATTATAAGGCATGTGTAAAGTGGGGTAGGAATGCTGGTCTTAGCAGGAAGAGAAGCCGGAAAAAAAGCAAAGGAAAAAAAACAGCTTTTACTCTCATGGGGTCCCCTTCAGTTTCCCTGTCACATTCCCTGCTATGGGATCTTTATCGTCCTTATTCTTAAGGGATGTTGAAGGGTGAAGGTCTCATCTTCTGTAGCTTCTTCAGGCTGAAAGGGATTGCAGATCCTACCTAACAGGAAGCATAAAAATCCCGAGCTATCTCACTAAACTAAAGGGCCCCTAGTTGCAGATTGTTTGAGTTGGAGGCATGGCCTCATCATAAGAACAGGATGTTTCCTACAGTCATTGAGATAATTTGTCTGACATATTTATGCAGAGCACGTAATTAACAATAGCCCCCTAGCACAATTACTATCATAGCTAGTAAAAGAAGTGTTTTCCATCAAGACTATCTATTTCCGCTAAACCACTGAAAGAATGAGAGGAGTCAGACATTGCTTTAGTTTGTGTGTGCATGTCTGCTAAAACTTTTGATAGAGATTAGAGTCATCTGGGATATATACGTAAATTTAGTCTTAATATTAGCATAAGTTTCTTCCTGAGCTCCAGTCAGGATATCAACGTTTTGGAGGACCACCTTTTGAATTTGACGGTGGCAGCATGTTAGGTTTGGTTAAAGGTGGCCACTGTATGTTTCACTAAAGCCTCTATTTATAATTTTAGTTATAGACATGACTCCCAGGACAAATATGGCTAAGGAATAAAACCACAAAGAGTTCTTCTTTGCCTTAATAATATTCTAATCATGAGGAATCACTGGCAAGTAGGAGATGACTTGTCTTGAGAAAAATTGAATTATTATGCTGTACACCTGAAACTAATCTAATATTATATATCAATTTTATTTCAATAAAAAATAGGTAGCTAATCTTATATATTTCTTCTATTAAATGAATGTTTGTTTAAAATAATTTAGATATACATTACGTGACAATACAAGGTACTGAATAGAGTATACAATATACCACATTTGGTGTAAGAAAGAAGGTAACATTTAAAGAATACATATGCATGTTTATTTTTATAAAAAGAAACAACAGAGGGATAACCTAGAAACCAAAAATAATGATTACTTAGAGGGGCAGGGTGGAAATGGGGGAGGGAAGTAACAGAATGGAAGTACTATTTATGGATGCAGCAAAATTTCTCAGACTATATCTTTTTATATAGTTTTGACCATTAAAACATACACGTTTTACAACTTCAGGAATAAAGGCAAAAGGGAAAAAATAAACCTAAAATTGAAAAACTGAAACAAATGAACCTAATTACATAAAACTGGTAACCTAATAACACAGAAAAATAATTTCAGGTAATCTCTGAACACATTACTCTGATAGTACACTCACTGGGCTGTACACTAAGGACAAAAGGAACTGCAGAGAAAAACTAACCTTCACACTATACTTTAGTTTTCAGTAGTAGCATTGTTATGGCAAGTTCAAGATTATCACGTATATATTATAGGGTAAAGTTTCACTAGGAACAAGAAGTTTAGTAGGAGCCAAAAGAAATACAAATATAAAATCAAAGAACAATTGGGGTGCTTGGGTGGCTCAGTTGGTTAGTGGTCTGACTTCAGCTCAGGTCATGATCCCATGGCTCATGAGTTTGAGCTCCATGTTGGGCTCTGTGCTGGTAGCTCAGAGCCTGGAGCCTGCTTCGGATTCTGTGTCTCCCTCTGTCTCTGCCCTTCCCTACTTGCATTCTGTCTCTATCTCAAAAATAAACATTTAAAAAAAATCAAAGAACAATTAAATTAGAAATATGAGAATGAACTAAGACATTTTTGTTTTCATATATTTCCCAGCTCTGTTCACCAAAAATAAAGACATCCAGCTGCACTGAGCACAACTTGGTGATCTTGGTCTATGTTGTGGGTTGAAATGTGCCCCTCAAAAAGATATGTCGAATTCCTAACCCCTGGTATTGATGAATGTGACTTTATTTGGAAACAGGGTTTTTGCAGAGGTCATGCTGGATAAGGGTGGGCCCTAAAACCCATGACTGGTGTTTTTATAAGGAGAGATTTGAAGACAGAATGAAGAAGGCAATGTGAAGACAGGCAGAGAGGGCAGCTTTGCTGCCACAAACCAAGAAACGCCAAGGACTGTCAGCAACAACTAGAGGCTAAAAGAAGCAAGGAAAGATTCTTTCCTAGAGCCTTCAGACGACCTGAGGTTGTCTCTGTCAGCACTTGAATTTCAGACTACTAGCCTCCAAAACTGTGAGAGATTAAATTTCTGTTGTGTAGGGGCGCCTGGTGGCTTAGTCAGTTAAGCGTCCGACTTTCGCTTAGGTCATGATCTCGCGGTTCGTGGGTTCGAGCCCCGCGTCGGGCTCTGTGCTGACTGCCAGCTCAGAGCCTGGAGCCTGTTTCGGAGTCTGTCACTCCCTCTCTCTCTGACCCTCCCCTGCTCACGCTGTCTCTTTCTCTCTCTCCTAGAAATAAATAAATTAAAATAATAATAATAATAAATTTCTTTTGTGTAAAGCTACCAGTGTGTGGTGTTTCCGCAGTCCTAGGGCACTAACACAGTCATGAGGGCGTTCTCTCCTAAAACAGCTCCTTGTCAGATCCAGGACATGGAGAGTAAAAGGTAAACCTGAGATATATAATTGTTCTAGAAAAGCAAGGAAATTCTCCAAGACTCTTGAGGTATGTCAAGATGGAGTTCTCACTGGGCAAATATGGGGTAATTTGAACATCATGAAGAATAATGGCTGTAACTATATAATTTTGGATAGATGAAAATCCATGAGTCCACTGTGATTATAAATGTGTGCTGACCTCTAAAATATTTTGACATCTTGGAAGTGACTATTAACACCAACTCCTTGCTTAAATACTGATACTTAAAGAGAAATAATAAGTATTTACCTTGCCTTTTTAGGAGGAATTATAGTTCATTCCTAGGTGATGAGTGAAAGATTTTATTTACAGAAAAATGTCAGTTATTAAAGGTAGAAGGAATGACAGAATCTTTTCAAATGGCCATTCTGCCACCCACAGGGACACAACTGATTCAGGCATTAATAGTTACAAGAAAATTCTCATGTTATCTGTAATAACAGAAATATAAAAACAGCCTAAATGTCTAAAGTAGTGAACTGGTCCCACAAAATTAGAGTTCATCCATAGAATGATATATAAGTCCTTAAAACTTCAAGGAGCTGTGTACATGCATACACATGGAATTACATTTTAGCAAAGGTAATGTAAGCACCACATTCAAAAAGTATCACCAGGTACATAAGGAAAAATAAGTGTTTCTTTCATCTGTATCCCTCAGAGGTAACTACTGTTTACCAGGTTTTTGTGTGTCCTTCCTTATATTCCAAGCAAATCTAAAAGCCTATGCTCATGTGTACATTTTTAACATATGACTATGAATTCTTCATATAAATGAAGCTTTTTACGTACAGTTTTCCACTCCTTTTTATCATTTATTAACATATATTGGAAATTGCTCTGTAACAATACAAAAAATTCTTTCTTTATAACAATTAAATTTATGATACAGCCAAACAATGCAACAATATTAGTGTCACCTATCAATGTATACATTGTTTCTAACCATTTGCTATTAGAAACAATGTTATAATGTACACTTGTCATTTTGTACACATGTGAATGTATCTGCTAGAAGTTCCCAGACATGGGATTGTTCAAGGAGTATATACATTTAAAACTTTGCTGCATATTGACAAGCTGTCCCCCACAAAGGACTCCAACAATAAATGACTATACTCTCATATTCTCATATACCTCTATACGATACTTTTAACAACCCCATGGTGCAACTTTTGATATCTGAGAATCTGAAAAGATGTATCTTATGATAATTTTAATTTGCATTCTCTTCTCAGTGATGTTGGGCTCTGCCTTCCCCTGGTTAAATGCTGAGCAAGACTCAGTTTCACCAGGTGTTCAGTTCAGTGAACAACTGATAGATTTTGTTAGCACCTATTCAGTAGTAAGGAATAAGCTGTATAGACGTGAAACGAATTGAATCTATAGTCAAATTATGAGAAAACACTGGATGATGACAATAAATAACTATTTCTGTGACCACTTATTTTTTTAAGGTGAAAAACATGCTACATGGTAGCCATACCTGTGATTTTAATATTACAAGGAATGCCAAAAGGAGCCTCTCCCACAGTTCCAGCAGTCCCACCCCATCTGCATGCACACCCTAAGTCAAGTTTCTGTTGCATGAACTAAAAACAAAACAAACAAAAATGGCGGCTTTAGCACCCACTTATTTGCTGTCTGGAGAGAGAAAAAAAATCAAATTCACACGTATCTGACAGAGAATATGTCTTTATTTAAAGGGCCTTTCTGTCTCCCCTCCCACCCCTCTTTTAAAGGTTACTTTGTCCTTCTGTATTTGCACAGTTTTGTAGAGTTGAAACCTACACAAGTGCCTTACTCTAAAAGCATCTCATTAAAAAAACAAATCGTACCTCAGTCCAAAACTCAAGTTATTATAATACGGTAAAGTTCAGTCTTCTCTACCTGTTCAATGATGGCTTGGAAGCTATAGAGTCTGACCAGTCCTGAGCTGTACATCACAATCAGTATCCCATGAGACAAGGTAGCATCTGTAACGTTGCCGAAAATCTGAGGGGAAAGGTAGATATCACCTGAGAAAAGACCAGAAGGCCAATCCTCTTGAGTGTTCACAGTGGTTTGTGCTTTGCTGAATATTCAGGTCACCACGACAACACTGCTGCCTAGTACTATAACTTAATTACAGTTTAGAGACCAGAAGTTAAGGTGTCATTAGGATGGTAGGCCACTTGAGTCTCAAACCGGAGCGCTAATGGGAGTGTAGCATATAACCCTCAAAATGACTTAGCAGCATTCATTTGCTTCTTCCATTTGCTTTATAGTTTTGCCAATGTCTTTAATAATAAATGCTATTTTTCATGGACATAAGCACACATTGAGACCATCCAAATCTACCATGCAGGATATGTGCAGTAGAGTATATATAGAGACCTATTCTTCATGCTAAGATGTTATTTATAAAGAGACAGCTTTTAGCTAGAAGTGAAAAGATTGGCTCGGAGAAAGTACTTTTAATGAGAAACAGCCAACTGCAGAATTTTGTCATTACTTTGTTCTTTAAATATCTAATACTGCTTGGTGTTTCAGTCATTTAAACCCAAACATGTTGAAGGACCTATAGAGACATTTAGACTGGCTAACCTTGAGTAAGGCTTTGGTTCTTTGTTCCCTTTCTGTTTTTGTTCTATGCACTGGATCCTGTCATAATCCTCCACAGAGCTCTGACAAAGAACCTGATTCTGTGCCTATTTTAATATTTAACAAAAGCCAACATAGACAAATTTTCATTTGATGAAAGAACAAGTAGAAATTAAGTGAAAATCTGTTTCTGTTTCTAATTACTTAGTGAAAATTTACTACCCCAATAAATAGCTTAAAGTACATTCTGAGCATGGCCCCTGGGTAGTCTTTTATACATGTTAAGTGAAAGATATGCTTCAATTCCAACTAACCCTAATCAAAACCAAATCCCTCCAATGATTATTGTAAGGCATGTAAAAATAGATAGAAACAATTTATGACTTAGCTAAGTGTTCATTCCTGTTTTAGACTGTAATAAGCATAACAATTACTTAATCTACAAGCACAAAGAAAACAATTAAAATCATAAGTTATTTTTTTTGTCATCTCTTAGAAGGATAATTATGCTTTGCTTTGATCTTGACTAGCTCATAATTTTTTATTTGCTGATCTTGGTTTCCCATTTTGAAAAGGAAGACTTGCGTAATTCAAACATATTTTCAAATAATGAGTGCTATAATAACATAGCCCATCTATTTCAAAATTTGGTTCATACTTAGGAGTCAACTCTAGTTTCTAATTCCAGTTTCTGCATTCACTTTGGATTTGGTTAACTTCCTAGAGGAATACATCATATGTTACAAAGTTGTAAACTACCCAAAGTGCCTGGCACAAAGCAAAGAATGAATAAGTAACTGATACTATTCATTTGCCTTTATGTAGTTTAGAATACTATGCTGATACAAAAAAATTTTAATGCTTTTCTTATTTGCTAATGACTATTAGTGGACTCTGAAGATCTGCTTCAGTAATACTTTAAGTGCTTAATTAAAGACTAGTAGAACAGACCAATAAATAACTATCCACCCAGACTAAGTAACAATTTTTTAATGGAAGGTAGAAGGCTACTGATTCTTCTTCTCAAAGGAAATATGTCCTTTCTTTCCTCCCATATAACAGCCTATAAATCATGAACAATGACAAGAATAAAATCTAAAACTGAATGAGTTGGAAAACTCACATGTTTAATTATAAGGCTGTTTCAGTATCATAAAACAAGTTTCAGACCTGCACCTTGCAATTAAAATGAGTCTTTTTGTTGTAGCTTTTCACTTTCCTAATGGTCATTTTAAGTGAGCTTTGGACTATCCCTCTGGAAAAAAAAACACCTTCCTCATTTCATAATTTTATAAAGTAGTGGTTTGTTAATGACACCAAAGGTAATTCAGCACTATGCATTTGAAAGGCATAAAAACATGCAGAAAGATGAAGGGATGATTAGGCTTTCTTCCTAAATGAAACATTCTCATGTATTTTGATGTGAAACAAGATAGATCATAAAGCTTTTTACAATTAGGGGAACACTTGCAAACAAATGATTTAATAAGCAAATAATTAAACAATGACACCTCATCTTTTATAAAAATAAGTTAATATTGCAATTAAATCAAAAGTAAGTTCTTACCTTCTTGTTGATTTCCAGAATCCCTATGAGTGAAAAAGGTAAAACATGGAACACTGCAAGGTACAGCAAAACAGGCTGTTGAATGCCTGCCTACAAGGAAAGATTAAATTATAGGCAGCTCTCAAAAGAATTTCAGAAACACTGTTTTCATGAGTTGAAAACATCCATCTGTCCTAGCATACAGTTACGTGGATGTTTTCAATTCAGGAAAACATCAATCTACATTGCAAAGTTACTGAAACAGGAAGGCATATATGTTCAAAATAAGTCTAGTAAACTTCAGTCCTTCAACACACATGCACATACAAATAAAAATCTATAAAAGTAAACATTTCTTAGCAATGAAGCATATTTTATATATTATACAAAACATTTTATATACTGCATAATAAAATATACCTTCTATATTATAATTACAGTATAGATTAATATATATTTATAATATACACCACATACCATATAATATATAATTAAATTGTTATTATTATACATATATTATGGTATATTAATATACTATAAGATAAATTATATTTTAAGTTGGAATTCTAATAATAAAGACCCTAATCAAAAGACACATAGTTAGGGTCATAGCACCTGAAAGTAGCATTACACTGACATGTCTACATGAAATGAGAAGAAATTATCAACAGTTAAAGCTTGAGTGATTTGTCTGTTTGGAAAAGGTAGCTCCCTTACTTTGAAGAACAGGCACAATTTCTTTCCACTATGGATTGTAAAATAATCTGTTGTACTTCTCCAGAGTGGCTTAAAGGGTATTTCTTAAGCTTGTGGTAAACTACTTCTACACCATTTTTCTGAAATCAAAGATCATTAGTTCTTTCACAACAAATCTGCAGACAATTTCTTCACTTATTAATGTTTAAAGATTTATTTGTTGATATTAAAGATATCTACCTGTCGGGCCAATGCTGAGCATTTGTTTTGAGCTGATTTGACTGCAATGACTTCTTGAGGAGTGTCCCAGCTCAAGTATCTTATAAAAGAATGAAGAATAGTCATTTGTGTCAGTTTCCTTATAATCAAAATATAATAGCATTTTATAAATAAACTTCTGTTATTTAAATTACAAAAGCAAAGTAATTTATTTTAAAAATAAATTAATTAACTTAAAAATTCCCTCTAGATCCTTATTGTAATACCTCCTATTAAAAATATATATATACAGGAGTGCCTGGGTGGCTCAGTCAGTTAAGCGTCTGACTTCTACTCAGGTCATGATCTCAGGGTTCATGGGTTCGAGCCCCGTGTCGGGCTCTGGGCTGAGAGCTAGCTCAGAGCCTGGAGCCTGTTTCAGATTGTGTCTCCCTCTCTCTCTGACCCTGCCCTGTTCATGCTGTCTCTTTCTCTCTCAGAAATAAATAAAAACATTAAAAAATAAAAAAAATTAAAAAAATATATATATATTTAACTTTAATCCTTCTAGAGTGTCAGTGAATAGAAACTGTGTTTGATCAAACAGTATTCAAAACTTAGAAAACAAAAAAACATTCCTGCTTTAAAATGAAGTCACAAAAAACATTAAAAATGTTACTTTAACATTCTGCATGTATTATTCACTCCATATATATATATATATATATATATATAATTTTAAAACTACTAGTTAAAATAACAGTTTTTAGGGACACTGGCTGGCTCAGTCAGAAGTACATGTGACTCTTGATCTCGGGGTTGTGAGATCCACATCACATGGATCTACATCACATGTCTCTACATCCACATTGGATGTAGAGATTACTTAAAGACAAACAAACAACAAAAAACACCACTTTTTAGATTGTACTAGGCAGGTATTTAACTGAAACTGACTAGTCTCCAAGAAAATCGACCATGAAGTGCAACCTACATATAAAATACTATTTGCAGAAGGGAAGTCAGGAACATCTGGGTGACTCAGTGGGTTAAGTGTCTGCTCAGGTCATGATCTCACAGTTCATGAGTTTGAGCCATGCATCGGGCTCTGCGCTGATAGTTCAGAGCCTGGAGCCTGCTTCTGTGTCTCCCTCTCTTTCTGTCCTCCATGGTTGCTCTCTCTCTCAAAAATAAATAAACATTAAAAAATAAAATAAAATAAATTTTAAAAAGAAGGAAAATTACAAAGAGGAGGGGGTTGGTGCCTGGCTGGCTCGGTTGGTAGAGCATGTGACTCTTGATCTCAGGGTTGTGAGTTCAAGCCCCACATTGGGCCAGGTGCCTACTTTAAAAAAAAAGGGAGGGGGTTGATATCTGCTAACTATTACAGGTTGGTTACTTATGAGTGATGCAAACTTAAATAATAAGGGGTCTGTATTCTCAGGCCTTCAAATGTAGTCATGAGGAAAGAAAAATAGAATAGGTTTATAAATTGAGATCCAGGTATATAATGATAAACTTAAAAAAAAAATTTGAAATTTCCTGGGTCACAAGTCTCAAATTTATTTATTACATATATATAAAATCTTGAATAATAAAGCCATAGTTAATACCTGAATTTGCAGTATGAAGCCAGATATATTTTCTCAAGGACTTTTCCAGTAGCTGCTGATATGCGAAATAGCCAATTATGAGCAGTCAGTGCTATGAGTGAGGATTTATAATCTGATGGATTGGGAAGTATTTCCCCCTAAAAACAAAAACAAGAAAACAAGTGTAAAAATGAAACTGGTTAGTCATGAACAATCTACAGTAATATATGTCCAAAGAAAATAGCTAAAACCTTAAAGAAATAGCTATGTAAACCAAAGAAGAAATATTAAATGTACAAATAGAGAATTTAGACAAGGAAAGATGACACTGTAGGTTATTATTTTCATCAACTTATTGAGTTTATTCACATAAAGTGCCTAGATAGTACCTGAAATACTTTATTACTTACTTTATAGTCATCTGCTAAAGGGGAGCCTGGGTGGCTCAGTCCCTTAAGCATATGACTTAGGCTTAGGTCATGACCTCATGGTTCATGAGTATGATCCCTGCATTGGGCTCTGTGCTGATAGCTCAGAGGCTGGATCCTGCTTCAGAACCTGTGTCTCTGTGTCTCTGTCTCTCTGCCCCTTCCCTGCTCATGTGGGCGCGCTCTCTGTCTCAAAAATAAACATTAAAAATTTTTTAAAAAGATAAATTAAAAAAATAAAAAGAGGGGCCCCTAGATGGCTCAGTGGGTTAAGCAGCCAACTTAGACTCAGGTCATGATCTCCTGGTCTGTGAGTTCAAGCCCGCATCGGGCTCTGTGCTGACAGCTCAGATCCTAGAGCCTGTTTCAAATTCTGTCTCCTTCTCTCTCTCTCTGCCCCTCCCTGACCTGTGCTCTGTCTCTAGCACTCTCTCAAAAATAAATAAATGTTAAAATAAATTAAAAAAAAAAGAAAAAATAAAAAAAATAAAAAGAGTCATCTGCTAGAATAGATGTTTCTTTGTTCTAAGACTCATTGTTTTTCTGATAGAAGTCAAAATGGCAAAAGGGCAAATTGTTCCATGATTCACTGTAGCTCTACTCTTACCCCAAATGAAAAGCTAGAATGCAGAATCAAGGCAGCCAGAGAAAAACAGAAGATGGACCTGGTTTAAAAGATATCCTCTGTTGGTGGCAGGGTTGGTTAAGTGTCTGACTCTTGATTTTGGCTCAGGTCATCTCACAGTTCATGACACTGAACCCCATGTTGGGCTCTGCACTGACAGCGTGGAGCCTATTTGGGATTCTTTCTCTCTCCCTCTTTCTCTGTCCCTTCCATGCTCTCTCTCTAAAATAAATAAAATAAACTTAAGAAAATAAAAAAGATATCCTCTGTTGCCAGGGGATTACCCCCCAAAAGGGAAGTAACAGCTACTTGGGCATACCTGCCACTGATCAGCTGCCACAAGGTGGAAGCCTAAGGCAGGAAAAGAAAGAGAAGCAAAGAGTTCTACTTTGACTTGTAAAATAAAAAGGATGTTCTTGGGGGCACCTGCGTGGCTCAATCAGTTAGGCTTCCTAAGCTTCTCACTTCAGCTCAGGTCATGATCTCATGGTTTGCGGGTTTGAGCCCCACGTCAGGCTCTCTGCTGTTAGAGCCCGTTTCAGATCCTCTGAATTCCTCTCTCTTTGCCCCTTCCCCACTTGCACTCTCTCTCTCCTTCTCTTAAAAACTAAATAAACATTGAAAAAAAAAAAGGAAATTCTAAGACGAAAGTTAAGAATAGGGAAGTTAAGGGGCACCTGGGTGGCTCAGTCAGTTAAGCATCTGACTTCAGCTTAGGTCATGATCTCATGGTTCCTGAGTTCGAGCCCCATGTCTGCTCTGTGCTAACAGTGCAGAGCCTGGAGCCTGCTTCGAGTTCTGTGTCTCCCTCCTTCTCTACCCCTCCCTTGCTCACACCCTGCCCCTCCCCCAAATAAATAAACATTAAAAAAAAAAAGAATAGGGAGGTTAAAATTAATCTACTATTTGCTTTGGCTAAAAAGTGAATAGAAAATAAAAGCATAGGTATTTCACATATGGCTTTAAAGATTTGTTTTCCCTTTCAATTTTTGTCTGTTGTTTCTTGGTTGTGTGTGTATGTGGGTTTAAGTTTAACTACTGGAAGTCTTACACTAAATTCACATACAATGATGTAAATATTTTTATTCTATGGTGTCTTACATAAGTGTCACCTCTTGGAGATTTTTTTTTTTTAATGTTTGTTTATTTTGAGAGAGAGAGAGGGAAAGAGAGTGTGTGTGCACAGGAGGGGCAGAGAGGGAGAGAGAGAATTCCAAGCAGGCTCTGAACTAACAGTACAGGGCTCGATCTCACAAACTGTGACATGACCTGAGCTAAAATCAAGAGTTGAATGTTCAACCAACTGAGCTATCCAGACACCACTCACCTCCTGGAGATTAAAAAAAAAAAAAGAATTAGAAGTAGCATATATAATAGGCTTGAGGTATTTTCCTAAACTAAAAGTTGTATTTCACACATTGTCTCATTAAGGGGTGCTAATTTTTTTTTCATGTTTATTTTTGAGAGAGAGAGAATGCAAGCAGGGTAGGGGCATAGAGAGAGGGAAACACAGAATCTGAATCAGGCTCTAGCTCTGAGCTATCAGCACAGCTGACCCACCAATAGGGAGATCATGAACCAACTAAGCTACCCAGGTGCTCCTAAAAGGGTGCTAATTTAAATGTAGTTTTCATATCAATATATTAACAACAATAAGTGATATGCTTCTTAGTTTTTCCTAATGAAAATCTTGCTTAACTTCAAATGAGAAGAAAATATTTAAAGAGAAGTGAGAATAGGGATTAGATTACTAGAAACTCTATTTTTTCAGGGATTGCTCTAAAGTTTTTGGTGTTTTCACACTATGTCTTCAAAACTTTTCTCAATTAAGAAATCTGTCATCCTTGGGTGCCTGGGTGGCTCAGGTGGTTGAGCATCCCACTCTTGATTCCAGCTCAGGTCATGCTCTCAAGGTTAAATGAGGTTGTGCCTTACATCAAGCTCTCCAGTGCCAGCGAAGAGCCTGCGTGGGAATTTCTCTCTCCCTGTCTCCCTGCCCCTCCTCTGCTGTCTCTCTCAAAAATAAATAAACATCAAAAAAGATCTGTCATCCTTCTCCCCCAGCCAATTAAAATAGATTAAAAGGCTTTATATGTTGGGAGCACAATAGCTATTTTCAGCTTTCAGTAAGAAATTGGGGAAGAAAACAGATTTAAAGCTTTCTGATTTTTAAAAATGTGTCTGTTTTTAAAAAGAATAAGTGTCTAGGAGAAAAGAAAGCAAAGCTCTGGAAAACTACAATTTTATGTAAAAACAATAGTCTTTGAAAAGAGAGAGAATTTTAATAGTAAATTCAAAGGATCACCTCTTTTAAACATTATTTTTGGTCACATATTGTAAGTTCTATTCTTCCTAAAAAACAACCAGCCAGATTCAAAAACTTGATTAATTTGCTGCAGTATTTCCTAAGTACAGTTCTTAAAACACCAATCCCATGAAAAACTAGTCTGTAGAAACATACCTCAAAAAAGGAAGTCCTATGATCAAAGCAGTTTCAGAAAATGGTTTGACAATCATTGTGAACATTAATATTACTGTAAGTATTATTAAAGGCTCTGAGAAGTAATTCTATAAACAAATTTGTTTAACATTTTAAATTCAGAATATCCCAAACTTATTTTCTGTACAATTCAATTCTCCCAACTCCTCTAGCAAGTAGAAGATGCTATCTTATGAAAACACGGTCTTGTAAAATACACATCAGGTCTGTCTGATGGAGTGAGCTTATCCTATTATTTTATTTTGTATTACTTTTATTATTTTATTTTTATTTTTGACTTATTATTTTCCTAACAAGATTCATGGAGGAAACTTATAAGAATCTACTTTCAAAGAGCCATGTGATATAACTGCTGTCCGAAATAAATATTTTATTTTGATAGAATGACCTCTTAAATCAGTAAAATGATTTCTTAACCACTGAGAATAACTCTACACTAGCTTATATCGCTTGTAAAACTTTTAATCAGTTCATAACTTTTTTCTAGTTTTTAAGATTTACAAATAACAAAAATTTTTAAATATATTCATAATATTAATATATAATTTTTGAAGGTATAAGTTATTTCCTGAGGAAAAATAAGCAAAGGATATCTTCTCTCTTCTTGATTCCTTTCAAGACTCAGTAATCACTATGATATTTAAGCTTTATTCCTTTATATGATCAGTTCTTTTAAGCAAAAAATGCATTAGAAACAAATACTCTAAAAATATATCTTACCACTGGGCATTCCCATAATAAAGCATCCTCTATTTTTTCTGATTTGGAACATTTTGGCATTTCATAAAGTTTTCTTGGCTCTGATGCAACACTGGAAAAAAGAAAAATGAATGATTATTCTTCTTATTAACTGAGACAGTGTTTGCTCAGCTTTGAGTGACTTATTCTGTTCAGAGGTTTGGAATACCAAGATACAACTTACTACTTTGCCTTCCTTTTCTTAACTAAATGTTAATATTTTTTTCCTGATCACAAAATTCAAAAGAAAATTCACTGGAAAAAAAATTTGAAAAACATAGTAACATAGATTAGAATCTATAAAATCAGAAAAATAACCATTATTAACACTTTGGTTCATTCTTTCTAGTTTTTCTTTATATACTTATACTTACCTACAGATTATTTCCCAAAGTTGAATCATATTGATTTCTTTCTTTAACCTTGAATCATTACAATGAATATCTCTCCTGAATTCCATGGCATTCATAAACTGTTATTCCATTATTGTAAAATGAAAATTAGATAACAAGAATCCTTTTATTTTAGAATAAAAATTAATAGGTAAAAAAGGAAATGCCTTTAAGGTTTTTTTTTTTTTATTCCCAAACTGCCTTCAGAAAAACTGAACAAGCTTATACCTATGCCAGTACTAAATTTTTTATGTGAAAATAGTCCCTTATCTTTAATTTATACTTCCCTGATTACTACAGAGATATGATCATAGTTTCCTTCTTTTTTTAACTGACAAAATTTAAAATTAAACTACTATTAAAAATATTTTTAATGTTTGCTTTTGAGAGAGAGAGACAGAATAAGAGCAGGAGAGGGAGACACAGAATCTGAAGCAGGCTCCAGGCTCTGAGCTGTCAGCACAGAGCCCCATGCAGGGCTTGAACCGAGAAATGCAAGATCATGACCTGACCTGAAGTTGGACGCTCAACCAACTGAGCCACCAGGTGCCCCTAAATGTACACACTAACAAAGGAGAAAAGCTTCTAGGTTGGTGAACACATGGACATTCAGCAGGAGTGGTGTGCTCAAAGAGCATGGATATTCCATACCCTTTTGCATATACCTTGCCTATGTATCTCTTCCATTTGGCTGTTCTTGAATTATGTCTTTTATTATAAACTGGTAAGCTACTAAGAAACCAATCACAAAAGACACATACTATGTGATTCAATTTATATGAAATGTCCAGAACAGATGAATCTACAGAGATAGAAAGTAGACAAACAGTTGCTTAGGGCTGAGAATGATGTGGGTATTGTGGCAATAGCTAAAGGCAATAAAGTTTCTTTCTGAGGTGATGAAAATGTTCTAAAGTCAACTGTAGTGACAGTTGCCTATATGAACCACAATGGTTCACCAAAATTCATATCATTGAATATAATTTCAATGAACTAAATATCATTAAATTGTATACTTTAAATTGGTGAATTGCATAGTATGTTAATTTTATCTTTTTTAAAAAAAATGTTTGTTTTTGAGAGAGAGAAGCAGAGAGAGAGGGAGACAAGAATTACAAGCAGTCTCCACACTGTCAGTGAAGAGCCAGACATGGGCTCCAACCTAGGAACTGCTAGATCAAGACCTGAGCCAAAATCAAGAGTCAGATGTTTAACTAACTGAGCCACCTAGGCATCCAGTGTGTGAATTATATCTTAATAATTCTGTTAAGAGAAAGAAAAAGAAATGTCTAATATTGTTTAGAGAAGCAAAGCATGGTGTTTAGAATATGCTTTAAAATATTTAGTAAAAAGATGAAGGAAAAGTGAGCAATGGTATAGATAAGCAAATGTAGTAAAATCTGGATCATCTTTTCAAATTTCATGTTTGAAATTCTTCCCGGGGCTCCTAGATGGTTCAGTCGGTTAAGCCTCCGACTTCAGCTTAGGTTAAATCCTCAAGGCTTGTGAGTTCCAGCCCTGCTTCAGTCTCTGTGGTGACAGCTCAGAGCCTGGAGCCTGCTTCCGATTTGGTCTCAGTCTCTCTCTCTCTTCCCCATCCTCTACTTCCACACTGTCCCTCTCTCTCAAATATAAACATTAAAAAATTTTTTTAAATTTAGAGGCGCCTGGGTGGCTTAGACAGTTAAGCGTCCGACTTTCGCTTAGGTCATGATCTCGCGGTTCGTGGGTTCGAACCCCGCGTCGGGCTCTGTGCTGACTGCCAGCTCAGAGCCTGGAGCCTGTTTCAGAGTCTGTGACTCCCTCTCTCTCTGACCCTCCCCTGCTCACGCTGTCTCTCTCTCTCTCTCCCAGAAATAAATAAAACATTAAGAAAAAATTAAAAAAAATTTAATTTAAAGAAATTCTTCCCTAAAGCAGCATATAATTATTAGATACCTGACTCTGCTATCTTCTAAGCAGAATAAAACACTACGCCATCCTCTGAGCAACCTATCATTTTGCCTGCACTATAAAGTAAATTCATTTTAAATTGGTATTTTCAAAGATGAAATCTCTAACTTTGGATTTAAAAAAGGTTTTAAAATTATAGCCATTTTACCACCTACTCTTATTTTGGGCTCATTTTTCCATTCTCCTATTTCATTAAAAACTGATAAAGCACGTGGTTCTATAAAAATGAGTCAAGATCAATGGCGAGGTGAATTACAAGAAAAATGTTCACCAAAAAGATACCTGCTGACACAGCACCGATAATTGTCAAAATATATTCTTCCTCTCTCATAGGCTATAGGTGACTTGGAATGAGTTGTCCAAACATTCTTGAATTTAGTGCTTTCCTGAAAGACACAAGGAATTTTGGTTTAGGAAATAACTCATAAGTCTCTACCGTGCACCAATATTAAGTGGGGTAATTAAATCTACAGTTTTCAAAGTAATTTCACGTACATTATTTAAAACATGTTCATTTCTCCCTCACTGGCTTCTCACGTTTTAAGCGGTGTGAACAAATTTTAGAAAGACTGTTTGCAGGAAGACATAAGAAGCTTAAAACTAAAAGCGTCCGGTGGTTCTATTAATACCTATTTACTAATTCCCCAGGTTCAGGGCCTGGATACCCCTGTCCAGAACCTGTGATCTTCTTAAAGGGGAGCTCTAACGAGTAAAAACTGCACCCCAGCAGGAGGCTTAGCCGCCAGTCGCCCCTCTGCCCTTGGCCCCATTCCCAGCAGCCGGCGGTCACCTGGCACACCAGCGCCCGCAGGATGCCCAGGTTCGTCCTCTGCACCACGCCTGCATCCCGCGAGAAGAAGCCCAGCGCCCGGCGACTCAGCTGGCGACACACGTTGGGTTTCTGAGTCGGGCCCATGGAGGCAAGAACCGGGGGCGGAGTTTGCTGGGCTGTAGAGGAGCGCGCCCCTGGCTCCGGCTGCTGGCAGCGGCCGTTACCTTCGAACCCCCAGGCCCCAACTCCTTGAGGGGCCCAGGAATAGCTGGCGCGGGGAGCCGGGCAGGGAGCGCACGGCAGTGGGGCGAGGTAAGGCGGGGTTGGCGCTGCCTGAGCGCAGAGTGAAGGAAAAGAACCCCCTTCCGGCCTGCCCCTCTAACACTCCGCAAGTCTGGACCGGGCTGCGGACAGTGCGACGTCCCCACAACGCGCGGCCTGCTGGAGCCGTTACCTCCCCGGGAAGTGTAGTTCCCAGAGCCCTTTGGGGGAGCTTGGCTAGTTTCCAGAACTACAATTCCCATCAGGCGGCGAGAAGAGAGCTCTGGTGCCGGCTCCGCCCCCCACCAGCCGAGGTCCCGCCCATCCCCGCCTTCTCTGGCCCAGCCGAGGCTGCGCTGTGAGGCTACCGCCCCTTTTCCGGGTTCACAAGCCGTACGGGGCAGAACCCTAGGGGCGCTGTGTTGCCGCCTCCTGGTCTCGGTTCGCTGTGTGAACCTTGCTTCCCGGATACCCTGAAGTCTCTCAGCTCCCGACTTTCTCTCTAGGAGGCCCTGGCCGAGCGCCGTGAAGGGCGCTGTGTTGAAAGCCTCCCCCGTCTCCCCCCAAAGCAGTGTCCTGTGCTAAAGGTACGGCCCGCGGCTTTCCCTCAGTCGCACGTTGGACGTTGTGGATGATGGATGAGGCTGACGGTTAAACATTTTGGGTCTATAAGCACAATGCTGTTGTATTATGAGTTAGTAGCGGAAGATGCTGGCATTCCTACCAAACTAAGATTGACTTACTCTCTCCCAGAGGCTCGCCCTTTTGTGGCCTGTGGGAACACAGGCTGGTTTCGCGATAATTGCTGCATTTTCCTTCCTCTCGCCTCTTTTTTTTTCCTCTTTTGGTAATAAAATATGAAATGTTTACGTTCTTACTGGACTGTAAGATTTTCCACGTTGATTCCTCTAAGTAAAAGGTAACTTGGTCAACTACTCCTGCGCGTAGGGTCAAGGTTCCCCCCTACGCTACATTTTCAGTAAACGTCCACTACGTGTGCCCTCATTGCTTTGCAAGTCCCTTAAGGGTGGTGTTTTTGCATCTCCCACGTGGGCTTGACATGCTACCTCTTTTTCATATGTGGGCAAGGGAGTGGTTGCATTTGATTGACAGAGAAAAGAATACAATACATTGGGAGTGCATTGGGTCACAATTTAAGTGTTTAGTAAAAAATTGTCTCCGGATACGCAGGATTCTCCATTGTTAACTTAAATATTTCCTTTAGGGCCTGGACTTTTGCTGATTTTTCATGACTTATTTACAGCTTACTGTGGAGTGCTTTGTATATTTTTAGAGCGCGCTATAATAGTTAATTTGGTAATTCATGAATGCAGCTGTCACTGAGAAAACTGGGACCTAGAAAGGAGAACTGGATTTTCTTTGGATGAAATGAAATTCAAATCATTGCTGACTTAAATTCATCATCTCTTTTCTCATTCCCCTTTACCCTCATTTGTTTGTCTTCCTGTGGTCTTTATCTCACCACCAAGTCACCCAGGGAGCAGCCATCCCGGATGCCCTCCTTTCCTCACCCACAACCAAGTCCTTTTGATTCTAACTCCTCCCTATCTCCTCTTTATATCCCCTATGTAATTTAGGGCCCAACCACTTCATCACATTGTTATATTAAGTACCCTCCTTTCTGCCTTACTTAAGTACTTTCCATTCTAATTCTCGTCCTGCTGCCAGAGTGATTTTTCTAAAGCACAAATTTGTTATTTCCTTACTAAAATCTTTCAGTGGCTCCCAATCATCCAGCAGAATTTCTCAAGCCTGAGTAGATACCCAGGATTCTCTATTGTTAACTTAAAATATTTTCAGTATGTTAAATATATGCAAATATAAAACTATATATAAACTCCTTATGTTGTGTATCTTACACAACTATAACTCCCGGTTATAAGTTAAATGAAGCACAATTATGAAACAAATAAATTCAAATGAATATTTAATCATTGGTACCAATGAGACTTTCTGCTGGACCGAATATGCTCCAAAAGCAAATATTCACTGTCCTCCATAGCGTAACTTCTTTACAAAAGCCCTGTCCATATTGTACTCATGTTGAGATTACTCAGCGCCTTCACCTCTTTTCTTTTTTTAAAGAAAAGCTGCAAAGCCTTCTTTTGTTCAATGTGTCATGATTTCATTTGATCTTCACTTGTCAAACAACATCATTTACATAAAGTAGTTCCCACTTCTTTCTCATTAACCTGTGCCAGTGACAAATGGTATCACTTGTTTGCCAGTGCAGTTCTAGACAAAAACATGTGAACTGAAATCTTATGACAGTAATCAATTAAAAGGAGGTCATCCGGATAATCCAGAGTAATCTTTAAAAAAATGTTTTTGTGGTTGATTTTTATCAAGTTGAAAATAAAAGAGAAACCTCATAGCCTTGAGGCTACATGTACAAATCCCTAGGGGTCTGAATAGGTACCTTACAGGACAAAATCTGAATCCCTCAGTATAGTGTACAGGGCACTTCCATCTGCATTTTGCCCACACTTTCAGTCTTATTGCTTTGTCCATCCTTAACATTTGCTCTTGTGGTTCTGACATGTTGCTCACTTGGTCAAGCCAATGGGCCTTTCAGATTTTCTTTGGCGCTCCCTCCCTTCCTTTCTCTTATCTGTTTATCTCATAACTCATCCCAAGTATCACAGCCCCACTCACATTTTTCCTGACCCCTTCCCTTCAGTTATAGCCTTGCTTCTTCTAACATGTTACTCTGTATACATTTTGTAGCACTATATTAGAATTGTTTGTCTGTCTCCCCAACACATTGTTTTTATTCTTTTTTTTTTTAATGTTTTATTTATTTCTAGGAGAGAGAGAGAGAGACAGCGTGAGCAGGGGAGGGTTAGAGAGAGAGGGAGTCACAGACTGAAACAGGCTCCAGGCTCTGAGCTGGCAGTCAGCACAGAGCCCGACGCGGGGCTCGAACCCACGAACCACGAGATCATGACCTAAGCGAAAGTCAGACGCTTAACCAACTAAGCCACCCAGGTGCCCCTTTTATTCCTTTTTTTTAAAATAGGTCTACACTCAACATGGGGCTTGAACTCAGGACCCTAAGATCAAGAGTCACATGCTCTACTGACTGAGCCAGCCAGGTGACCCGCAACATACTGTTTTTATAGTAGTCCATTCATTTATTTAACATACATATACATTAACCACATTTTAGGCAGTATACTAAGGATGCATATGTATGTTGGATAAATGGACTATTCTAAGGACACTGTATAGAATCTATTATTGGCAACTAAGTACTTTTAACATGCATGCAGATTTAGTCACCCTGTTTTCTTTAAATCAGTAGGAAACCACAGTATTCATAAGAAGAAATAATTTTTTAAAAACTTAAATCCCCAACAGTTCTACCTATAAGTATATATTCTTTCCCATTTGTTGAAGGTAAAATGACATGCACAGATATCCCTAGCTTAGGACTTGAAAATGACTTCTCAATTTAAGACAGAGAACAAACATTGCTTTTTGTTTATTTTTATTTTTCAATCTGTGTCATATGTTTTAACAGAATACTCAGCTATTTTTACCATGATGTTTTTTTTAAAATACATATTTTTTTCAATTTACTTTGTTAGGTAATCTCTACACCCAATGTGGGGCTCAGACTCATGATCCTAAGATTAAGAGTTGTATACTCTACCAACTGAGCCAGCAAGGCTCCCCATCATGATATTTTAAAGACAAAGAGATATGAATTCAGAAGTTAATAAAATGCTTTTTGTTCATATACTTTGCTTAAAGAAGCATAATAAAGCACTCAGGTTATTAAACTTGAACATTTATTTGGAGACTAATTTGAAACAAAACCACAAGAGGTCATTGATTCAGCGTCTAATTATTTTCATTTTACTTTGTGCTGGAACTATTTTGGCATAGGGTATAACAGTGAATGGAGACAAGCTCTCTACATGTGGAGGGAGATAGATGATAAATACATAGATTTTAAAAATAAAATTTCAGGTAGTGATAAGGACCATCAAGAAGTCAAAACAGGGTGATGTGCTTGATAGAGTGTGGTTGGAAGTTCTGCTTTGTTTTAGCCAGAGTGGTCAGGGAAGGCCTCTGGCAGATTGGACTTTTGAGCTGAGCTCTGAATGATGAGGATGAGTCACTCTGCAAAGAACTGAGATTAGAGTCATCCAGGAAGAAAGATGCTTGAATGCAAGGTTCCCAAAGCAATAATAGCCTTGGCTTATTTTAAAACTGTCAGGCCAAGTGGCTTTGTAGTGTGTGTGAGGGAGATGATCTTGGAGAGGTAAGCTAGAATCAAGTTATATCAGGCGTAAGGAATTTTGGATTTTATTCAAAGCTTCTTTTGAGGGAGGCTTTGAAGAAGGAGAGTGACATGATCTAATTTGTGATATAATAGGATCTTTGTGGCTATAGTGTGGAGAGTGTACTGTGGGAAGACAAGAATGGAAGCAGAGAGAGACGGGTGGCTGTTCACTTGGTCCAGGTAAGCGATGTTAGTGTTTGGACTGGAATGGTGACAGGAGAAATGGAAAGAAGTGAACAGATTCAGGATATATTTTGGAAGTAGAGTTGATAAGACTTCTAATGTAGTGGATATTAACCATGAAGAAAAGAAAAGATTCAAGTGAAATCATAATAAAGCAGAACCACAATAAGCCTCTCTAAACTCCCTCAGAACAAATGGAAAACAGGGAACTAACTACTTAATGATGTGGTGTCTATGACACAATACCTAGATTTTATTAAATGTACATACTAGCTTTTTATTTTTATTTTTTTAAAATATTTTTATTTATTTCTAGGAGAGAGAGAGACAGCGTGAGCAGGGGAGGGTCAGAGAGAGAGGGAGTCACAGACTGAAACAGGCTCCAGGCTCTGAGCTGGCAGTCAGCACAGAACCCGACGCCGGGCTCGAACCCACGAACCGCGAGATCATGACCTAAGCGAAAGTCGGGCGCTTAACCGACTAAGCCACCCAGGCGCCCCCATACTAGCTTTTTAGACACTGATGTTAAGGAATGTTAGGATGTCCTGTGGTTAGGAATGTGGAAAGAAGGAAATAAAATCAGGTCCCAGAAGCGGTAGGGGTCAGAGCATGTGGGACCATGATAGTGTGATGGAAAAATCACTAGTGATAGACTAACATTCCCTTTTAGAACAAGAGTGTAATAGAGCAGTTAGCAGATAGCTGGTGTACTTAAGGTGAGAAT